AGCACTTGAGTGGAGAACGAGAGAGATGTGAGACTGAGTGACAGAGAGAAGAGAAAGGGGAAAGAAGAGAGGAAGAGGAAAGAGAACTCCGAGGTGGATGGAAGATAGGAGGTGTACATAAGCGCCCGGTTCCCCTCATCGCGCCTCCACCGAAAACACACTCGACCACCACTACACGACCCCCAGACTCTCGTCCACGTCGGTTGACTTACGTCACCACTACCTCTCGGGACCACGGTCTCCAGCGGGAACTGGAGCGTCACCTGGCTCGTCGGACCAGAGCGTGGCACTTTGGGTCGTCGGACTAGGGCGTTCGGGAACCGGGAACTGAGCGTCGGGACCTGGGCGTCGTCGGACCAGCAGGTCAGGAACCCCTGGGCGTCGCGGTACAGAGCGCGCGGACTGGGCGTCCGTCGGGACAGGAGCGTCGGAACTGACCGGACTGAAGCGTACGGATTCTGAGCGTCGGAACTGGTGAGCGTACGGATCTGATCGTCGGACACCAGGGCAGTGTCGGGACTACGTCGGAACCTAGCGTCCGACGTGAATCGTCGGAACCGGGCGTCTCGCACTGGCTCGTGGACCTGAGCGCGTCGGAACCTGAGCGTCGGACCTGAGCGTCGGACCTGGGCGCGTCGGGCCTGAGCGTCGTCGGAACTGACGCGTCGGGACTGAGTCGTCCGGGACTGGGCGTCGTCGGTACCGGAGAGGGCGTCGTCGGAACCTGAGCGTCGTCGGACCTGAGCGTCGGAACCTGAGCTCGGACCTGGGCGTGGCGTCGAACCTGAACATCGGAAACCGTGACGTCGTCGAACCGGTCCGTCGGGAGGAACCTTGGTGCGTCGGAACCTTGGCGTCGTCGGAACGTAAGCGTCGTCGGAACTGGGCGGTCGGGACATGGCCGTCGGGACCGTGAAGCGTCGCGAACCTGGTCGTCGGAACCGATAACGGTCGGGAGCCGCTGGCGTCGAACATGAGCGTCGGACGGGGCGCGTGTCGGACCTGAAAGCGTCGGACCTGGGCGTCGACGGAACTGAGCGTCGGACTGGTGGTCGTCGGACCTGGGCAATCGGAACCCTAGGCGTCGTCGGGACCTGAAGCACGGCGACCGGGTGCGGGCGCGGAACAGTTAATTCGAGCAAAAATTGGTTTCATGAAGACCGCCTGTCAAACTTTACACAAAAACCATTATTGTTCCCCTCGCAAGCGCCCGGGCTACAATAACGGAGGTCAATAGCCGCCGGCGAGAGAAGAAAAAGAAGGGAAAAGAGGAGGAAAGGGGGGATAAAGGTTGAAAGGTTATGAAGAGAACAAAAATAGGGAGAGAATAACGTGGAGATAGCGAAAAGAAGAAATAGAAGATGGGAAGGTGAAAAAAAAACG